GAAGATCAACATCACTGACAGGAGTCGGAATCAGGAGACCTTTCAAATAAGCTGAAAGGTGTCTGGACTTCTCAGTTCCCAGTTTCAGCAACCCGTGAAGATCCGGGTTAGAATTGGTCTTCAGTAACCCATGCTTGTCGTAAGAGGCAACTAACGGGATCGGGTGGTCAGACTCGCTGATTTGGTTGACACGTGTCATTGTATCCCAATTGTGTAAATCGGTGCTCATGCTGTTGATCACTGGTTTGTCTGGTCAGACTTGATTATTTATAGACCGCCTCCATGTAGTTGGAATATTGCTGAGTGCGGGTAAAACTAAACTCACTCACTCACTCACTACACAGGAGGCTGGTAGGATCACCAAGGGAGGTTATCTGGTTGTGACCTCGGATGCTACAAGGAAACAGATGTTGAACCAGGCGGACTGCATGGAGAAAAAATACGTACAATCATCTTCGGGGCAGGTGAACTTCCTCGTGAGCTCACAGAGCAGGAGAAGACTGTGAGAGACAGAAGGTATTAAATCACTTTATTGAACTCACATTTTAAGTTGAAAATCTTCAGTAACCCATGCCTGTCGTAAGAGGCGACTATCGGGTGGTACTGACTTGGCTGACTTATGTCATCGTATCCCAACTGCGTAGATTGATGCTCATACAGTTGATCACTGGATTGTCTGGTCCAGACCTGTTTATTTACAGACAACTGCCATATAGATGGAATATTGCCGAGTGTGGCATTAATCAACAGCCAACCTTAGAATGTACTTGTACATTATAAACAATACAGAAGCAAAGCTGAAAATGCCCATTTGACCATTTTTTGGCAATGTGAGTAGATGTGTCTAGCTGACATGCAGTCAGAATTTGTGAAGAAAAATTATTCAGCCAAAATATTCCATGTAGATTCCAGGTCGGAACTGGCTATGAAGGAGATGTCAATATTGATCTTGTGGCGGGGTTGTTGACTTGATCGACTGTCATTGGGATGGTATCTGGTGTTGCTCATAACATCAATCACTAGTTTGTCGGATCCAGTCCCTGTTATGTGCAGGTGTTTGTGACCTGCAAAATTGCCATGTGTCGTGTTAAACATGAAACGAATAATGGGAAGTTTGGTTTTGGAAATTGTGCCCAGTAACCTGTGTTCAAAATGTTACAAAAATGTATCGTTTGACTTGTTGTGTCATAACAGGACATCATGAGACATTTGTTATAATATCAACCACTGGTTTGTTTGGTCCCGCCTAGCTTCTCAATAGAAATCCATGAAATGGACGGAGTAACATACTCGTGTAAATGAAATCAAGTGATCATTTATGATACATTTTGTTTAAAGTGGTACTCAGAAATAATTAAGTGTGGTGGGCGAGCTGGCCAAGGCACCAGGCTAGTGATCCAGCGAGGTTGAGGTGCCGGGATCGAGCCCACCTGTGACGACCGGGTGTAAAAAACCTTGTTGTCAGCTTTGGAGTCAATCGTTGAGAGCACAAAATAGAATGTATTATTAAAGCGGAATATTTGGGTTATTAAATTTGAGCTCTGTCACAAATATCAAACCCGGTCTATACGCAACTAATGTCACACACCTTTATTCAAGTTCTGTTTTGGGAATTTAATTGGGGAGTGACATGCAAATGTTTAATACAAGCAAAATGTTTAGTTTAAAGAAATTTATTGCACAAAATAAAATGCATTATTAAAGCGGAATATTTAGTTTAAGAAATTTGAGCTCTGCATCTGCCACAAATGTCAAAAACAAATCTAGTTAAAACAACACAGCAGCAAATTTTACAATTTTTGTTTCTGAAGGACAAATGGTCTCTGGATAGAAGTGAATTTTCTCCTTCTATCAGCCAGAGTAAGTATTACAGAGTTATCTCCCTTCACTCAAAACAAAAATAATACAGTCTCACTTTGTCCGGAAACAATGTGATTCTAAGCCAATATATGCCAAATACATATGTGTACTTTAACAATACAGCAGTGTTTGGACTCAGGTTTTCTAAAGTGACACAGGTTATTCCTTCCAGCTTGTACAAGTACTGTATGCTGCAATAAGACTGGTAGAGATTACCAGAACAATTTACACAACAACAGTTAAAATCCCATTACAATAAACTAAAAAAGTCATTTAGAATCTACAAATATTTCTATTATAGCACATTTCTTGGCATTGTTGGTATATAGAAGCTGCTAATCCCACGCAAACAATACAATACCATAATGTTCAAAAATGTAATAAAAATATATTAAAAATATATGCCTTCCAACATTTACATGATCCTTTGGTACAGTTATTCTGATTGTTGTCAACAAAACTAACTGTGATCTTTTTGGTCTTCCACTTATGTTCGGTTAAAGGTCACATGCAACCAAAAAATCAAACATAATTAAAACACAATTATCACTTATTCATGACATATAATATACATTGCTGGTTATGAAAAAAACATATAAACAAAATTATAAGCGTACAATCGCAAATCAAAAGAAACGAAGCAGCCGGGATACCGAACCCAGTCAGAGCGGGTGGGTGTGCACTCAAGTGTAACGGCTGGTTCATTTGCAGATGCCGCCCTCACGGCTCATTGTGTGTGTATATATAGAGATGTTGGGTTTTGTAAATACATGCTCATTTTTTGTGTATAACATTTTGCAATCAACAGACATCATAACATGTAATGTTTACAAGTATCACACCTGCCTGTGTGTGTTATTACATAATGTGACAGAGACCGAACTCGGGCCATAAATCAATGCGTTTTGTTTATGGTGTATAGCCTGATAGGTGTTCAGTTCAAATTGCATGTGGTCAGTGATTGAAATTGTGTATTGAATTGAATATTGTCATTAGCAGACGGGCAGGCAGACACATACTAAGTAGGTGCCAATAAAACAGACATTGAGTTTTGTCTGTGACAACGACATATCTATATCACAGTTAGAAATTCGGTCGACGCTAAATAATGACATTGCTTTTAAGTATCGAACTGAGAAAGTGACTTGGTAAGAAGAACGTGTGGTGAAATAGACAAATGAAATTATATAAACAGTTAAATCGGTAATCTACTGTAATAACATATAAAAAGTTTGCGCCTGTGAAATATCAACAAAACATTAGAAAAATAGCTCACACCAAAGCCTTCACCGAATATTCACCGGACAACCCGCTTCCAAGCTCCGCGAACCTATTTCACTGCGCATGTGCTATGAGCGCAAATTCTGTGTTACTTCTGATAATTTAATTAAATATCATCACAACATAAGCTGGCCATGTCTAGACTAAGGATTCACAAAATTGCTGAATGAATAACATTAATTCACTACTGACACAAAGACCGCAAAACACCGAGTAATACTATATATAAATACAAAATAGTAAGCTGATCACAAAAATACATACTTTCTGGAGTTCTGAAACAGCAGTGTAAACATGACTCAACATGCCTTGCTGGGGAATGTGGCCTGTGATTGATTACAATGACATACCTGAAGGAATAAGTAATGAACAGCAGATCAGGTCCCTGTCACCTATTTATTTGATTCCCCCAACATGGCAGCAACAGGAATCACTATGACTAAATTTGTTCATCAAGTAGTTGCCACTTGATAATTAAATTTTCAACCATCTTTCAATTGACATCATTAGACTGGTTCAATATTCGACAGTTGCGGGGACCTGACTTCTGGTGAATTTGTTTATGAAACACCAGAGAAAATACAGGTAGTTTGACAGGACTAACATTCCAATTTCAGGAAATGACTTTTGCAGTGTATGCTGGAAACAGGCGGGTTCATATACTGCAAGGGAGACAAGAGATACTTGTAACTCCTGTACAGTTTCATATATAAACATACAATTCATATGAAAAAATATGTTATGTTATGACAGGCTACATTTATGATAGTTATCAACAACTGACAATATGTTTCCCTCTAAAATAGAATATACCTGACTTCCCACACTAACCTTTTGATCTGTGATCTGTCAAGTTTTGATGTGACATGTTACATTTCAGATTACACATCCACATTACACATACAGATTCTAGAACATTTTCAGGTTGAATACCATCCGGGAATATCCACACTCTCAGAGTCCTAATCACTAGCACACAACGTCAGCCAGCTAACCCACTCATCCAGCCCTTTCTGAAAGGTATTCATAACACTGATATAACCGTTACAGACCCAATTAGCTTAATGTCAAACTGTATCCTTCGTTCTCGTTTCCAGTTCAGCTCTTTGTAAAATGATGTAAACATTAAAGTCATTCATTACATTGTGACTGTTTCTTTACTTTCAATATGTACAATTCCTGAATTTAACCCTGGGAATAATGATGGCTTCATAATTTGGTAACCAAAGTGGCTAGTTTTCATTATCAAGCTCGAGGTTTAACTGCGGGAATTCCATACTAGTTTGATATCCCAGCTGTTCGAAATCAAATTCCTCATCAAAGTATTCATCCATTCATATGTTCTTTAGAATCATCTGTTTCTAAAAATATACCTGACTTCCCACACTCCATCTCCGATCTGTGGCCAGTGTGTACCTTTGGCAAGGGCCAAGGTATGTCACCCCTTTTCTACTCACTGCCCACCTGGATACCCGACCTTGGGGAGGGGCAAGCAAACCTACCATCCTACGTTTCCTAATATAGTGGACGTTCTGTGAATCTGATGAGATATCACATCGCAGTTTACCATGGATACCCTACTAAGACACAGCCTACTGACACCAAGCTGTCCTTGCCTTATCATATCAATGCTGAACAACAGGATACCCTACTAAGACACAGCCTACTGACACAAAGCTGTCCTTGCCTTATCATATCAATGCTGTACAACAGGATACCCTACTAAGACACAGCCTACTGACACCAAGCTGTCCTTGCCTTATCATATCAATGCTGAACAACAGGATACCCTACTAAGACACAGTCTACTGACACCAAGCTGTCCTTGCCTTATCATATCAATGCTGAACAACAGGATACCCTACTAAGACACAGTCTACTGACACCAAGCTGTCCTTGCCATATCACATCAGTGCTGAACAGGCAGGGTAACAACAAGTACCACATTAAGAATGATGCATCTAATCAGTCACTTCACTAGCTGGTAGACGCTCTGTCCAAGAGTACCTGGAGGAAGTCACTGACGAGAACGTTCTATTGTGTTATGGAACTTATTTCTATGATCAGTTATCAAATCCAAACAGTATCCAATCTGATCAAAATATCTATATCTGTACTGATCTGTTATAGTGTAACTCATATTTTACTGATGCTGGGATGTATGACTACATGAAGAGGAATTCCAGGATTTTAGTTTGGCTACACAAGTACATTGAGTCATGACTCTCTACATACAGTCCCTGTGGATAATCAACCATCGCTCGATATTCTCTGACAAACTCCCCCGACTCTGTCAGCTGTATCACATTGCCCCTGTCTAGAAGCAGGATGTCTCCTGTGCTGGTAGCTGTGATACCACAAGGGTTGGTGAGTGCTCTGTTTCCGGCAGGGGCGTATCTCCACACAACATCCCCCTCTGACGTCAGACATGTCACAGACTTCTTCCAACAGTCAGACACGAGTAGGTTGCCCTTGTTGTTGACACACATGTACCAGGGGTCGGAAAACAGTGAGGCATCATTTTGTGTAGTGATTGACCTCAACACGTGTCCAGACATGTCCAGGATATCAACACATTTCCAAGCACCTGCTGCTAGAGATGAAGGATTCAGAACAGCCAGACTGTAGTATCCAGTACGTGTTGTGATGGTTGAGAGCAGCACCAGGTCATAGGTCACTTCTATTGTTAGAATCTGATTGGAGTCTGGGACAGCAACCATCACCTGCTTCTCATTCAACTGTGTTATCCCACGTGGAGTGTTATCCAGGGGAAGTTTACTGTGGCATGAATGATTATTTCTTGTGAAGAAGATTTCACGCACTTGTTATTATAGTCGGTAACAGCACATGTCTGTACACCATCTACAACCACAGCTGTCATATCAAATAGAAGAGGGCCCTCTTCATCATCCGACACCCTCACATATATCCTGTCAACCACCACTGGAGATGGCAGATATTGCTCCTGATCCTGGTATGTGACGTCAATCTCCCCAAACTGCATCTTATCTAAGGCCTTTAGGACATTGTCAGTGTAAGTTGTAAACCTGATGTGATCTATTCTCCGGGTGTCTGCTGCCTCTGTATCCCTGACATCCTTCATCTCTACAGCTCCAGACTCCCAGGCCTGATACACGTCATACAAGTCCATCTCACAGTCCGATACCAAGGCCTGGTCAATGAACTCACAATGTTGTCTGTACATCTGCATCTCGATCTCTTCAAGTTTAATATCTGCCTTAAGTTGCTGTGTTTGTTTGTCTGTAATGTCCTTGACTTCATTCATTAGCTGTATTTCTTTCTGTTTGATGTTGGCGATGACTGTCTCAACAGCAGATTTGATGTGACCTTCTACAGCCACTTTAGTCTTCTCTATTCCTCTAATTTTCTTGTGTGTTTTTTTAACCAGCGTTTGTTTTCTATTCATTTTCTTCAATAATACTTTCACGTTCTTTCTCAAATAGTACTTCATGGTAGGCATCAGTGACTCCATGGTAACGACAGACTCACATTTCCTGTGGTAGATTACGCAGCATGTTTGACACACGGCTTTGTGACAGTCTTTACAGACGAACTTTATAACCTCACCCTTGTGTTCCGGACATACAACCTTACGTCTTCTCTTGACATTCATCTCTCCTGAAAGGTCACACATTTCATGGTCATGTGATGCTGGACTTGCACGATGCATCTTGACACATCTCTTGCAGAGGAGCACTTCACACTCAGAACACCATAAGGTTCCTGGAGTTGTCTCCCCTAACTTCTCACACACCGAGCAAAACGAACCAGTATCTGAAAGTGGACACGTCTATGGTAATTTAACAATTCACAATGATATATTCATAAGCTTGTACAATCGACTTTGCTTTCAGATGTGGAAAGGGTTTTGTCGCTTCTCTTAAAGATTGAGAAATCCAGGTAAAATGATGACTATTTTAAGGCATAGAGAGTGGTACCCCTGAAGATCCCCTGATACCAGTTACCCTGAAGATTTACAAATATTCCTTACATGTTGTGCCAGTTGTAGACTATTTAAGACAAATTACATGTATATATATTTTCAAGACCTTTCTGGGCTTTATCATACAATTCACATGCGTGACTGATAATAATCAGTATGTCAATCGATATTTGCAAAGGTTGTCGCACCCGCAGTACTTGTAGAAGGTTCCTGTGTGTCAATCAGCCCCTGTATAATGATGCTGGCTTTGATCTGCCCCACTCCTCCACCGGCCTCCTGGGGTGGGGGACCTTGGTATCTTGTCGACAGCAGGGACAGGGGATGGTCTTGGCCTGTATAGCATCTGGTCTGGTCTGGACGTATAAGGTGACACATTTCCTGCAGAATGTGTGATCACACCTCAGTGTACACGGGTCTGTGTACTGCTCCTGGCAGATCACACAGGTCAGGAATTCCACCACTTTCTCCTCACGGGACATCGACATCTGCAAATCAAAAATCACATCCGGGTTACAATGATGGACAGCCAGGTCACGAACTGCTCACTACTAGTTCGCTCTTGTCAAATGTGAGGATACTGGGATAGCCTCTCAGGGTTCAATGGTATTATTTTCTACAAAACTGTCTTGATTATTCAATAAACACTGATACAGAAAAAGACTGAAAAACTCATTGTTCTGCATGTCTTGGAATAACGACATACAAGGTGTTTCAGAACTATAGTTTTAACAAAGCCCTCCATCATTATAGTTGTCATGACAACAAACTCCTGCTGTAAGAACAAGCTAGTCGTTGTCATACATAGTACCTGGTGTACCATGAATTGTCAGTAATGAATTTTAACTGCGTTTCGCCGTTTGAAATCAATTTGTGTTACTTATATAAATCTAAAATCCGGTATCACAAAGTACACGTAAAAGTCACACTTCCTCAAAGCAGAGACCATACAATAATCTATTATATGGTCTCTGCTCAAAGTGACGATGCGAGGGAGGAAACTGTGAAGTTCTTTCACAGGACGAGCCAACATATATCTTTATAGGTTAAGCTTTAAGTGGTGACAAATTAACAAATTAACTTGTTTACCTGCATGCCAGACATTGGTAAAAAACAGGACAATAACAGAAAATGGCATCACTATATTTTAGTTTTAAAACCTCGCGTCCAACAATTCCTACTTTCGCTTTCTCTTCCTTTCAAATTTTGAGTGTAGACAAAACTAACTCAGTATTTTAAACAATATGCCTTAAATCTGAATAGATGCTATCGGTGATCTGAATGTATACGAATTATTCACACGATGAGACCATCTTCTGTCTCCCTGATGCTTTGAAATATGCAACCCCCCTGTCTACCTGTCTCTTCTGGCCTCAGACCACAGTTACCCCCCCTTAACTTTTACCATGACCTGGAAGTAAAATATGAGAATATAGTGCCTTGTTTAAATGGGCTGTTCTGCTTGTGCTAATTTTTTCAGGGTGACTTGTGATAGCTTAAATGAAAGGTAAGACATTGTACTTTATTGCAAATTTTTTTTGGTCCACAATCTACTCATGGTATTGACACCAGCCTTCCTTGATTTGACCCCAAGTTCAAGGCTGTCTAGTTTGTTTCGGCTCGTAACTTCCGGCGACCATTGTTTACAGTGGATACAGCAAAATTGACATGGTCGACCCAGACTCATATTTTGCCGATTAAGTGACAAGTGGCAGGTTGGTCAGCATGCAACAGGAGAACAGCCTACGACCGATATTAATTATGGTGCACTGGCATGTCACTGTAGATAGCAAAGAAGGAAAATAATTGTGGTCTGAGGCCTTCTGCATACCACAAAAGGGAGGTAACTGAGACAACTCGACTAAACGTGATTTATAAACTACCTGAGCAGATGACGACGTAGGTTTCTGGATCGAATCTAGGATGGATACTTCAATTACGTGAGATATCGACACAATCCAATATTCGTACCCTGTTGTTTTACAAACACATTTTAGTGTTAAGGAGGAGTTCATTATCTGTGTTTCTGGTGTATAACATTTCGTGTCTTGTCGTTCAACATTAACCAGAAAGAAGTAGCTGCTGCCCAAACTCTCACGCACGCATGCCCTCATTTACTTCGGGTGAGGTGAGGTGAGGTGAAATTGGGTTTAACGTCGTGCTTGAGAATATTTCGCTCATATGACGACGTACATGCATGTGTATGTGTATGTGCGGCTGCTTGTACTAGCCCAGACTTAAGCTGGTTTTATAGTGCTAGCCCACTGAGATACCATGCCGCAGTGAAGCATGAATACCCCACTCAGACACATTATACTGACTCCGAGCCGACCAGTCCTTGTTGTACCCATTAATGCCGAGCGCCAGGCAGGGACCAACAAGTACCACTTATTTTTTAGACTCGGGTGGGTATATAAGCCCCCCACCAAACAGCCTCATGTCATACTTAGTCTATGAAGTCACTAGTGGATATACATTCAAGTGATTTCACACATTGTGGATATACCAGAGTGCATTTCTCATTGGATTATACTGTGTGCACTGGATTACTAAACAGACTCAGGGTGTACTGTGTACTGGATATATATTTTCATCAGCCTCTCAACTATACATCAACAGAACATCAAGGTAAGTTACCCTTCACATTTGTGGAAACATACTAACATCTGAATAGGGAATTGAAACAACTTACCTCATGTGATCCATAGGAAATCCCTTAGCACAAGCATCACACATATGTCCATGAACAGATCGAATCACACACATATCCATTGTATCCACACGTATTTCCATGAATAATTATATGCATTGTTTCCAGCAGCACACCTATGTCCATGAATGGGTATATCCATTATTGAGGCAAACAGTGGTGGTAAATCTAGATGTTTAGAGGGGTTGGAACAAGTAACCCATTCATGTGAAGAAACAGATTGATTCATACTGTACTCCAACAATGAATGACTCATTTGCCCACCCGTAAGTCCGACCTACAGCCATTCAAAGCTATGTTTACGGGGAAGGGAATCCCTCTCCCACCCAAGCATGAAGATTAAGAAAACAAGCGTATAATGGAGTGAAAAATAAATAACTTCAAATACATGTTACCGAGTGTCCATGTTAATACTGTTTGCGACAGCCTCCGAGTGAGGTGTGCCATGTTCATTCTGCCATAACATTGCCTCTCCCTACGTTCAATGAACCGAGAAGCATGACGGCCTTCACGCCCATTGAAGAAACCAGGTCATAGATCGCGTCCCCCGCCGCCATTTTGAAACCCAATGACACTATTGGAATTATAAAAAATGAAAATCGTGGAAATCATAGTTTGTGGAGAATATTAGAATCCCTGTAGAATCGCTATGCATACAGAATATTAGAATTCCTGTAGAATGAGCAACATGTGTTATGTCAATCCAACACAATAATATGAATAAACTTCGGTGAGTCATACAAATGTACATGATATACACTATTCATGCGAAAATTATGCTCTAAAATAATACTTTTACAGTCGTTCTGTGTACTATGTTCAACATTCGCATTCAAAACAATGACAACAACATGCTTAACTCTCTCAATATCTGGATGAAAGTATGTCACGTTGGCGTGTCAGGCTGCCATATTGAATGTTAAGACTTGCACAAATAAAATGTTAGTATTTTTTAACATGAATTCGAGCTCCGTACATTGGGAATGTAACACAAACTACCTGGACAATCCGACACCAAAAAAACATGTCTTAAGACAAACATTTTTTTTTCCTGTTTGAAATACACAATGACTACAGAAATACAAAATACATAGAATAAACACAACCTTAGCATGTATTACAAAATGTACATGATATACACTATTCATACGAAAATCAACTAATACGTTTACAATCGTTCTGTGTGCTATGTAACACCCATAACGTCGTTAAAGGCATCCAGACCATGAAAACAACGTGCTTGAAATACTGTTAGACACTGCATAGATCGACTTACCAAATCCACAATACATCCATCACATTTGTGTATTATAATCCATCAAGTCACAGAGTAACACGTCGCACCACCCTTTGCCTCTGCGCTCTCACTCAGACAAAGACCCCCATGTGCTCTCACTCAAACAAAGACATTTTCGCGCGGTTTTAGGGACACACGTATCTCAGCCTAAAAAACCGGTTCTGTGTCAAACCGGTTCGCAAACGACACTTTCAAAACGGCCACATAACCAAACCGGCTACATATCCCAAACGGCTGCTCACATTTCTAACTGAAGTCTTATTTTAAGTGTATATATGAATAATAATAATGACATACTATTTATTTGGCATGTTAGCACAAGATGGATGGAAATGACACAATAATGCATAGCATGGTTCAGGGTGAATATTTGTTTTATTTCAGATGGATCTCCAGGCCAAAATAGATTCTTTAGATGACTATGACAGTTTGATCAAGTGGGCAGAAGAACATGGGCTGTCAAACGATGAGCGAGTAGGTATGAGGTCTGTATGCTTGCTGTGTAGACAGATGGAACATCAGCCAGTTGGAGCAACAGCCAAAGACCAATTGGAGAAAATAACGTCTTTAGATGGTCCCAGCTCTGATGACAGTCCCTCCATGGAGAGTATCAAAATTAATGATCAACGGCAGAAGGGTTTACCTTGTTCCTTCTGTGGAACTACGTTCAGGAGAATGCCTGATCTCAGAAAACACAGGATGACCTGCCCTAAACGTCCATCTGAAACACCCTCATCAGCCAAGCCCAGTACCTCTAAACAAGCAGCTATATATTCTTCAAGGAAACGTTCAGGCTCTCCAGTACCAGGACCATCCCAAAAGCGCATAGACAGGGGGTCTCAGCTGTCAATGAACAACTTGACTCAGGACAGTCTCTTTCAAGGGGATCTTGATTATGATACATATTTATCCAGTCCAGTGGGGGCGAATGAATTAGATATCTATTTGGGCAGTCAACAGGGAGCTGGAAATGGAGAGGAGGTTCAACCTGCTTATGAATTTCACCTTAGAAAAGAAAGAACCTTTGCAAAACATGCGGCTGTGGAAAGGGTGTACAAAGTGAGATTTAACGATCAATGGAAGGGTCAAAATTTAAAAGATTTGCAGGATAACTTACATGCCATGTTTGACGATGTGTTAAGAGAAGCTAGAGGAAATTTACAAGATGAAGATTTGGCCCGAGTTGTGCTTCACCATCAAAACTTGCAAAATCCCATTGTGGTCCCACTAAGACCATTGCAAAATCTGAATGCAGATGTGATTCTGAGTCATATAGAAAATGTATTAAAAAAGTCACAACAATTTGGCCTTGGACGATTCTTTCGATATTGATATTGGTTTTCTTGATATGCCCAAAGGAGGTGCAAGACATAACATATCCAATGTTCAAGAAAGTGTCAAACAAAAACATGCTATAGTAGAAATAAAAAATAAAGACAACATGTGTATGGCAAGAGCTTTAGCTGTATGTTTTGCAAAAGTTCATTAAGTGTCTAAGGCTGAATAGGAGGATCTTATCAAGGTTCATCCTTTAGAGCAATGTGAGTGTCAGTATCTAGTCATGTCTACCAATGACAAGAAAAATACTCATATGGCTCATTTGGCACTGAAGCACAAGAAATGCTGCCCCACAATGTACACCAACTTGAAAAAGCATAACAAACATCAGACTCTCTTTGCCAAAACCATTTGTGACAAAGCAGGTACGGTGTGTCCAAAGAAAGAATGACAAGTTTGACAGATATTCCTAATTTTGAAGCTGTCTTAAGTTGTCAGATTTTGGTGGTGTGTGCCAAGTTGGGAAATAAATTTATTACCAAAGGAGTCAAAGATGACAGGAAGCAATTGTTTCTCTATTTAGTGGAGAGCCATTTTCATGCCATCCCAAACATCAGTGGATTTTTCAGCCAAAGTTATTTTTGTGACCACTGTCTCACCCCGTTCCAAAACAAACATGAACATACATGTGACAATTACTGTAGAGTCTGTAAGAGAAAATCCTGTAAGGCCAATGATACTGCAAGGACCTGCCCTGACTGTCACATGCAGTGTCGTTCAGAAGCGTGTTTTGTGGCTCACAAACAACCCAAAAAGTCCAAAAAAAAGGTGACATTTCTTCAGAGTGTGAGAGCTACTGGCGCTGTCCTCAATGTTTCAAAGTTCTGAACATATGGCAGAACAAGGATGGTCAACATGATTGTGACACATACATGTGTCAACCGTGTGGTAAGAGGGTGCCCATGGATCATCATTGTTATCATGAGCCATTGCCTGTGGACGACAAACCCAAGGTCAAAAAGTTTATCATGTTTGATTTCGAATGTTCCCAAGACGA